GACTTATCATCCTATTGACTAGGATTGATAAGTGGATTGTCAGAGGTGTATTGTTAACATGACAAGATTTGTGTTGCGATTGGAGCAACTTTGGGGACTTATCATCCTATTGACGATGATTGATAAGTGGGTTGTCAGAGGTGTATTGTTAACGTGACAAGATTTGTGTTACGATTGGAGCAACTTTAGGGACTTATCATCCTATTGATGATGATTGATAAGTGGGTTGTCAGAGGTGTATTGTTAACGTGACAAATTAGGAGTGATGCAAACTGAATGCATACTCTGTGGGGATTATGATCGTCAGAAGTGTAATGTTAACTCGACGATGTGAAAGATTCGTTACTCTTAATCCAGTGGATTCTAAGTAACCACCCTCAGTCTTGATTAAGACTTAGCAGGGGAATAAAAAAAGATAGACAAGACACATCGTCTAGTGGGGCACTATCCATGAAGTCGGAATAGAAACACATCACTTGGTAGGTCATTATCTGAAGAGTTTGGCTATCAGAGGTAATTATTAACGTAATAGCTTTGTGGATCTGCCATCCTATTGCAGAGGATTAGCAAGTTGATGGACTATCAGAGGTAACTATTAACGTGATAGTTTTGTAGACATGCCATCTTATTGAAGAAAATTGGCAAGTTGATAGACTATCAGAAGTAACTGTTAACGTGATAGTTTTAACGGATTTCGTGATTGACAGAGGTATTTTATTGAACGTGACAACTCAGAAAATTTATTATTCATAATTTAATGAACTACAAATAAACCAACCCCCAGTCTTGGACAAGTGCAGTGGAAAAGGAGCAGACATGACGCATCGCCTAATGGGCCACTATATAACGAGTTTGACTATCAGAGGTAACTATTAACGTGATAGTTGTTGGAGACCCGGCATCCTACTGAAGAGGATTAGCTTCAGTGGCCGTAGTATCTTCCCCTTCTGACTGAGAAGATTGGGCTTGGTCCGATTGCTCAGGTTGATCATGCCTACTTTGTTCTTCAGCTTTGATCCTGACAATGATTTTTTGAGTCTGCTCGCCTTGAGAGATTAGTTATCTCCAAGAACGACATTCTGTAACTCCTATTTGGGCTAGGAGGTCGGTTTGCAAGTTGTGTCGACAGGTCTCTACTAAGGTAGACTGTGTCATACCTGACGAACACCGGAGAGCCATGGATCGGAACCTTTTGACGAAGGCTTTGACGGACTCCCTCTTCTTCTGCTTGGTGGCGAGAAGAGTATGAATGGAGACTTCTGTATCCTCTTCAAAGAATCTTGACAGGAATAGTCTCTCTAGATCCGCCCACTTTTGGATACAGCCCGCAGGCAGTTTCCTGAACCATTCAAAGGCAATTCCCTTGAGGGTGCCAATGAACAATCGAGCCAGTATGGCATCGTTTGATATTACATTTCTAGTCTGTGACTTGAAATGATAAATATGTTGGTTCGGTGATCCCGTGCCGTCAAAAGTTTGTAGCGTCGGGACCTCGAACTTTGGAGGATAAGGGGCTGCATCCCATTCGGCAGGATAGGGTCTGATAACTCCCTCATCTTGGAGCTCGCTTCTATTAGCAATGGCTTTGAGGCGGGCTTCCAATTCTTCCATTTTGACAGACTGAAGATTCTGCTCGTTCTCAGTCTCTCTTCCTTCATCAGAAGAAGATTCCAGGCTGTGGGCTTCTTGGTCAGAAGCCGCATCATCAACCACTTTTCCCTTCCCTTTGCTTGTGTGAGATCGGGATGAAGATGTTTTTCCTCTCCGGAAAGATTCTTGCCTAAGCGGCGAATCTGTCTCCTGAGATTTGGCCTTGTCTGCGACAATTTGAGTCAACATGGCCATGAGTTCATCGATGGCCTCCTGTTGAGATTTGAGTATGACCTCCTGTTCATCAAGTCTCTTTGAAAGGTCTTCAGAATGTTCTGCCATGTGGGCGAAGCTCTCATGCCCAACGAAAGAGCTTGATGATTGGGACTCCACAATGGCTGAGTGTTCGTCATCGAAATTAGTTCCTCTGGCTAAACTCCGATAGTTGACAGGTGGAATAGCTCATGTTCGCGTCCGAGTGCGTTGGTAGACTCCTTCAAACTCGTTAGTGATTTCTCTGACACTTGGAGAACGATCTGTCTCTGACTCGTCAGAACTAAGGGTTGATGATCTTCCTCTACCAACCATGTTAGAAGTGACTCCAAGGTATTCATCCTCTAAAGTCTTCTTCCTGTGAGGATGTCGTCGATTATTGAGCAAAACAACATTCGTCGGTCGGTTGAACATCGACAACAATTCCCGTAAGTCAGAGACTTGGGATGAACCTCTCACGGAGCGTGAGGGTAAAGATGGAACCCCCTGTCCGTTAAAGGATGAGACTGATTCTTGGTAAACATAAATTTTAAATCCATATTGATCATTTTGAACACGACGAATCACATCGTGTTCCAAAGAAAGAACACGAGGGTCGTGTTTAGCTTGATTAACGCAAAACCAAAGTCTGTGTTTTGCTAGTGAAACGCAGTCCTGCGATCTGCGTTCGGATTCTGAAACGCACTCCTAAGAGTTGCGTTCAGTTTGTGAAACGTACTCCTGAGAGTTGCGTTTTGGTTCTGGGACACACTCTTGAGAGTTGCGTTCAGCCAGATCAACGCAGGTTTGATGTCTGCGTTTAAATGTTGGAATGCACTCCTGAGAGTTGCGTTTTGATTCTGGGACGTAGTCTTGAGGTCTGCGTTTTGATGTTAGAACGCGCCTCTGAAGGCTGCGTTCTATCTGGGAAACGCACACCTGATTTTGATGTTAGAACGCGCCTCTGAAGGCTGCGTTCTATCTGGGAAACGCACACCTGAGGGTTGCGTTTAGCTTGGCTTATGCAGAGCTCATGTTGAGGCTCACAAACGCGGAGTTCGTGTTGATTGGAGGATCGGCTTTTTTGGCGTTGTGTCGAAGTCGAGTCTTCTCCTTTAGAGGGGACTGTATGAACAGTGTAACCCCCATGGGAGATAGTCTTTAGATGAGTTGGCTACAACTGGAGCTTTAGTCTTCTCGGAAACTTTGTGGATCTTGCACATAGCCTTGGGGTTAAGGGATCCGAAGGAGAGGGCCTCTTCGTACTTGGCTTGATCAAACTCGATAATTAGAGTTTCAACGGTCGTTCCAGTGAGATGAACGTCGGATTGCGCCACCACTTCTTCATCAGAGAAGCTAGTCCCCAGCAGAGTCGTCATCTTTTATTTGTTGGAAATATGCAGTAAAAAGACAATGAAAGAAAAATTGACTTGTATTCCTCTCAAAATCAATTACAATTTGGATTCCGATTACAAAAGAGAGGATAATGAATTTGATTCTCCCCTTTGTTTAAAACTGGGTTCTTCACGGTAGCGATGAGATGCCTCCCTCGAATGCTCGCGTCGAGTTTGCTTCTCGTTGACGATCCGAACGTCTTGATTCACTAGAACGTGATTTTTTCTTACGATTTGACGCTGTGGAGAACTTGCGTGGTAAGTCTTAAAAAACAACTCTTAACGAGTTAATAACTCGGAGCGAGTTTATCTCTATGAAAGAGTTGATTTAAACCGAAAGTTCGGTTAATAAGCCAAGGATAAAGAAGCTCCTGTTGTCGACCTCTAAAGCTCCAGTCGAAGAACGAATGCTCTTCTTTGCTGCCAATCCTCGGGTCCAAAAAGCCAGCCCTTGACCGAATTTCCCTTTTTTGATGAGAAAAAATCCCCCTCTTTAACTCAATTGAGTTTCTGATATTTATAGGGGGTTACGGGTGGTAACTACCCCCCTTAATTTGCTCCTCAATGGGCTGAGTGGGGTGTAACCGCCCCTCTTAAGCAGCTCCCTAAATCGTAGGGAAAACGATTTTGAAACCGTTCTGTTAGTGCTTTGAACGAGTCAAAACGCCAATCTGGGCGTTCTGGACCTTAACTCTGCGTCTTAGAGATGAGACGCAGAGTTAGGCGCTTGCTGGGAGTTGAAAACGCAAGGACCGCTTGCGTTCGGACCTTAACTCTGTGTCTTAAAGATGAGACGCAGAGTTGGGCGCTCGCTGGGAGTCAAAACGCACAGGCCGCATACGTTTTAAAGATGAACTCTGCGTTTTAGGCTGAAAACGCAGAGTTGGGCCTGTTTTAGACTGAAAACGTACAGGTCGTGCTGTTTTAGAGATGAACTCTGCGCTTTAGGCTGAAAACACAGAGTTGAGCCTGTTTTAGGCTGAAAACACACAGTTGGGCCGTTTTAGAGGTGAACTCTGCATTTTAGGCTGAAAACGCAGAGTTAAACTCTGCGTTTTGATGTTATATCACAAGGATAACCTCTGCGTTTTGAGGTTATAACGCTGGTTCGACCTGTGCGTTTTGACTCTGTAATGCAGAGGCGAACCTTAGGCGGGCTTGGCGAGCTTCAAGTTAAGTCCAATGTTCTGACGAAGTCTGGTCTTGCAGACGGACTTCAGAACATAATTTGCTATGAAGAACAGGTCATAACTTTCAAACCGTAAGTCGGAATTGGACGAATTATATATGAAAATCGGCTATCTCAACGAGACGGGGCCTTACGAACCCAGGCGAAGGCTTCGGTTCGCTTCCTCCGTTTTGCCAAATTCCTTACGGTTTGAGAGATATATGCGTTTTGCTTCGGTTCGCTTCCTCCGTTTTGCCAAATTCCTTACGGTTTGAGAGATATATGCGTTTTAATATGAAAAGACCATCAATTTGTAGTCTCTTTTGCTAGAGCATTGCAAAGATCGTCACCTTGTAATCTTCGTCTTGGCTCCTTGAAAATATGAGAGTCGTCAGATTGTAACTCCCGATGTTGATTGTGAAGGCTGTTGAATTGGGGCTTTCATTAGTTGTTGTGAAGGTCGTCAGATTGTAACCTTCTACGTGAAAGTCCTCAAATTTTAGCCTTCTGGAAGTCATCAGATTGTAACTTTCATCATTGGTGTTTGATGGGGGATCAACTATCTATTGTGATTTTTAGACAGCCTACACCATCTATTTAAGTCTAGTCCCAAGACAAAAAAGGAGTTTTGTGTCCAGGTTGCTAACAACCAATGTAAAACCTAGTCAAATCAACATGTTTAACTTGTAAAAAAATAATAAAATAAGGGGATAAATTGCACTATACCCCAAGAAGTTTCAGCTTTTGCAGAAGACCCCCAAAAACTTTCAAAATCGCAATTAAGCCCCAATAACTTTTAAATTGTAGAAAACCTCCAATAAGTTTCTGCATTTTGCACATAACCCCATAAATTCAAACCAAAAAACAACATAAATGGCATTTTAAAAGTTATTGAGGATCTAGTGTAATTTATCCAAAAGATATTGGCTTTTTTTTTTGCAAAAATTATTGGGGGGTTTTGAGTGATTCTGAAAGTCAGGGGGGGTCTACTACAAAATGCTGAAAGTTCTTGGGGTTTAGTGTAATTTAACCTTGAATAAACTGTGATTTTAACATGAATTTTGAAAGTAATTGTTAAATTAGAATAAAATAAAGTTTGAGAAAACTTTGCAACATATATTATCATTTATAAGGATATATAAATATCGGCACAAATTCACATTTCAAAGCTGCACTACCATACTTAATGTCAACTACAAATTTTTCATTTGTTAGCACGGCGTATTCATTCATCCTTAGAAATGCATAAAACGTATATTCATCCAAAAAATTGTCATTATTAGAAGAACCCAAGGTCATTCTACACTTATTGGACAAACTATATTGGTCCAAGCTACAAAAATTCACAAATCATCGAGGCGATTCGTCGGCTAAAGAAGATTACTGCTTTCATACTCATTCATGTACTGCATAGATATGATGAACAGGACCCCTAAAAGAAAACAAAGGCAGGTTTCAGCATACACCACCCAAGTTACAGTTTTAAATAGCCCTCAGTAATTGTTATTTTACTCAAATTGTAGTCATCTCTTAATTTTCCCCTCCACCTCAACTTCTGGGAAATAACCTAGAATATTCTATTGTAATGGTTACTTTTTCATAAATATTTAACTAATCTTGGATAAGTTAATAAATCATTACAGAGTCTAGATTTACTAGTGGAAGGGTTCTTGACCAGGACTTGACTCACCCCTCCTTCATTTTCATATACTATAGAAAATAATAACGGTTAGTCGTTGACAGTACCATCCATGTCCCGACGTTTCCATCCAACGACACAATATCAATCCAAAAATGTAATAACGCCACACATGGCTCAAATCAGAGATCCACAAATAAAACTACAGGTAATAACCTCAAAGTTCAAAATGACAGGCCTAGAAAATTTCTAGTGTATATTTGCCTGCCATCCGTATTAGCAATTAGACCTTACAAGTCCTCATAAGTAAGTGAACTTGAAATAAAAACAGACTATTATAGAAGTTTAAATGGCAGGTAAGCCCTCAGTTATGCATTAAGTAGTGCTTATCACTCTGCAGGGTTAGAGTTTTTGAGAAAGATAAATTGCAGATAACCCCCTCCGCCCCAACGAATTGGAGGACGATAATTAAATGTTACCGACGGTATACATGAGGAGAGAAATCTGCAATTTTCACTATATAGAAATAGTGAAGGAGAAAAGTGGTTGGGAACATACATTTTCTCTTGGACATGCGTTGTCTACATCCCATTCATCTTCTTCATCAGCCTCGATTTCAGGCGACACATTGAAAAGCTCCACGGTGGACCTCCTGCTTGGGGCTCTTTGTTTCCTTACGTCTTCGAGCCTCGAGTTCATGGGCCCACCAATGGAATTTAGGGACTGATATTGGAGGTAGAGATTTCAGGCTGTCATCCTTACCGAATGGCCAGCATTCGGCTACGTCGAAACCCCTCGTTTTGGCTGAGTACTCGCTGAGGCAAATCAACAAACAGGTGAGCTGCATGAAAATGAAAACAAAAGGAAAGAAAGTAAATGGGTGTTGAGAGATGCTTAGTTACCGTATAGAGAATCTCTCCAAGGAGGCGGCCATGGTTTCTAGACTGAGATGGAGGAAGAGAGAGAGGTCTGGGTCTGAGACGGTAGCAAAGCTTCTTGTACGAGCTCACTTCTCTTTTTGTTTTGTTTTTAATTTTTTCCCCCGCTCTGTTGGCACGAATTTTGCCGAGTTGAAAGTGACGAATGAAGGGGAGAAACCATAAGGGCCCGTTTGTTTTGATTTTTTTTAAGAGTAAAGTGGTGTGAAAACTCTCAAAACTGACAAAAACGGTCAGTTTTGGCAGACTTTCTTGCAAAAACACTTTTAAAAAATGTGTTTTTACAAGAAAGTCTGCCCGTTTGTTTTGATTTTTTTGAAGAGGAAAGTGGTGTGAAAGCTGCCAAAATTGACAAAAACTGTCAGTTTTGACAGACTTTCTTGCAAAAACGTCTCTAAAAAAAAGCGTTTTTGCAAGAAAGCCTGCCAAAGCAGACAGTTTTGACAGGCTTTCCTCTTCAAAAAAATCAAAACAAACGGACCCTAAGGAATGTCGATTATATTGCTGATGATGATGGCCAATTGCTGATGATGATGGCCCCCTAGGCTAGGGGCGGAAACGGAAAGGATGCGGCTCGGATGTGATACTTATCATATTTGTAACCGCTTTTTGAAAACAGATATGAATATGAATACAGATTCTCTTCAGTCAATAAAACCATAACCATATCCACGCTAAGGTCCCGTTTGGATAATTAATGTATTGGAAGTAAGAAGTAGGTTACAGAAGTAACTTTCAAAACTATAAAATAGACAGTAGCGGAAATAGCATTTTTTGTTTGTTTCATATATTTTTAGAAGTAATGGAAGTAGAACTTTTTTTTGGATAATATTTGAAAATATTACTAGGAAGTAATCAATACATGTTGCTTCCATTTTAGGGCTCATTTACTTAGTGAGTTCTTAAACCTGACCCGACCCGTTTTTGACAATAAAATGAAGTTTCTAACTTCAAGTTCAGCCGTAATCATTCATGAATCTCTCTCCCACTCTGTGCGGCTGTTCTCCGAGCCTCCGAGCCTCTTCGAACTCCATCGAGCTCAAGATCTTTGTTCCCCTCTAACTCTGTTGACCTCGTCACTCGCCTCCCTGACCTCAAAGCTCACATCCGCTAATGTCACTCGCCTCTCCGACCTCAAAGCTCACCTCCGCCGACATCGCTTGCCTCTTCGACCTCGAAGCTCACCTCCGCTCACGTCGCTCGCCTTCCTGGCCTCGCAGCTCAACTCCACTTACGTCGATTGCTTCCCTGACCTTGCAGCTCAACTCCGCTGATGTCAATTGCCTCCCTGGCCTCAGAGCTCACCTTCGTTGATGTCGCTCGCCTCCTCGACCTCGAAGCTCACCTCCGCTGACCCTAACATTCGTCGTCGGCGCTCTGCTCCTCTTCAAACTCCATCGAACAAGTATCTACTCACTGCTTAGTTGTTTTTTATATTTTGGTATGTTTATATTTTATTAAGCATGGTTAGATTATATTTTTGGTTATTATACTATATATATACACCATCCAGTATATCACTCCGATAAATACTACCTATCCCCGATATATCCCCGATTTCTGCTATCCGATAAGAATTTTGACCGTCCAGTAAATCCTAGATAATCGATATTTTAAAATCTTGCTTCCAAGTCTTAAGGTCCATTTGGATAACAGGAACTATCAGAAATAAGAAGTAGATCAAAGAAATAACTATAAAAGTATAAAGTAGGAAGCATTGGAAGTAGTACTTTTTTGTTTGTTCACATATTTTAGGAAATAGTACAAATAGTACTTCTTCCACTTCATTCACTTTTTAGCTTGGATAACAGTTAAAAATATTGCTAGGAAACTCAAAAGAGGATCTTTCGAGATTTTATTTAGAAATGGAGGATATCCATGTAATGCAAAATTTGATTTTATTCCTAAATTGAGTCTCATTTCATCTACTTCCGAGCTACTTCCAAGTCATGAAGAGTAGAAACAGATCTAAGAAGTTGGGATAACGCATAAGTATCACGTCAGTGTTAAAAGAAATACTAGAAGTAGCTTTTCCAGAGAAACAAATGACTTAAAGCTCTAAAGTCAGCTAGAGAGAAATTTGGGTGCATAGCTAGGATCGAGACAAGAAAGAAAGTCTTAACTAAAAAAAACTTATAGGCAAACAGAAAGAAAAGAATTAGTCCCGTAACTAAAAAGATGCCTGGTTGAGTGGTTCCTCAAAGTCATGAGAGTACTAGAAGTAGCATCTACTTCTTTTACTTTAGCTACTTTGTATTTACTTCTACGTCTTTTCAAAAAAAAAATTATCTACTTCCGTGCAAACAAAAAGGCCCTTACGGGATGTCTGGCTTTTGGATTTGTGACCTTGTCAAATTTTCAAGAAATCCACACCTTTTCAACAAAAAAAAAGAAATTATTTGATTTAGAGGATGATGGAATGAAAAATTAATTTTAGAAAGAGATCTAAGAATTCTTGTTTATTTAAGGACAAATTTTGAAAACCACCCGCTTTCAAATTTTATTTAGTAAAACCGACCGTATTAAGATAAAATTAGCAAAATCGATCATTTTCATCTGAAAATGGTCGATTTTGCAGATGGGGCGTTGTGGCGAAGTGTACGGGACTGATAGTCCCGTACACTTCATTTTCTTTGTTTTGTCTTCCCTCTGGCTCTTCCCTCTGGCTCGTGCTCCAAATCCCTCTGCCTGACGAAAAACCCCAGACCCCGCTCTCCTCCGCCCGACGAAAAACCCCAGACCCCTCACCTCCTCCGCCTCCTCTCCTTCCCCACCTACCTCACCTCCTCTACCTCCTACCCCCTCCGCCTCCTCACCTCCTCCACCTCCTTCAGCCATGCTTCATCTTTTTGTCCACCAGTACATTCCCCGTGGCTAACTAAACCCGGTTTCTGTCCATCAAGCTCATAGAGAACTCCATTGACAGGCAAATAGCTCACATAGTTGTAGGCTGTCTTCTCATTAGCATTTTTGCAAAGTTGTTATGTATTTCTTGAATGATTTTCGTGCTGCTTGTTGTATGGCTATTTAGCTCTAAGGTGTGGTCATAGTTGAGCACTTTGAGCAGGTAGAGGAGTCGGAGAAGGTGAGGGGGTAGGGGGTAGGGGAGGTGAGGTAGGTGGGGAAGGAGAGGAGGCAGAGGAGGTGAGGGGTCTGGGGTTTTTCGTCGGGCGGAGGAGGGCGGGGTCTGGGGTTTTTCGTCAGGCAGAGGGATTTGGAGGTCACGAGCCAGAGGGAAGAGCCAGAGGGAAGAGAAAGAAAATGAAGTGTACGGGACTAGCAGTCCCGTACACTTCGCCACAACGCCCCAGCTGTAAAATCGACCATTTTCATCTGAAAATGGTCGATTTTGCTAATTTTATCTTAATACGATCGGTTTTGCTAAATAAAATTTGAAAGCGGGTGGTTTTCAAAATTTGTCCTTTATTTAATTAGAGTATGTTTATTTGTACCGAAGTAGCTATAAAATAACTAAATCAAAGGATAAAAGACTACTTCTATTTCCAAGCAAAAAATAAGTTTGTTTCTTTAACGGACAAAATGACCGACTTCCCCTTTAAGTATTAGTTAACTCTAAACATCCTTCCTAAAGTATTGATTTACTTATTTTTCCAATTGAAGTATGGTTATGAGCTTAGTATGGCTATTTTGTTGGGTCACTAGTCAAATATTTAATATATCCATAAGAGATTACTCATTTCTATACAAGCTGAAAAAATTTATTACTACCTTCCCACAAAATTTTTTATCTTTTATGTCTTTTTTGGAATTTAAAAGTATTGATTTTTTTAAATGTAGAAAATACAAGAAATTCAAAAAACATACTCTCACATCATCGATCTGTTAATTATTTAACTGTAGATTATAAAAAATGATCACATTGAATCCATACAAATAGTTTAAATAGAAAAATCGGTAAACTTACACTTTAAGACTCCAAGAGAGAAGTTTGAGAGTTTACCAGTAACTTAAGGGGAATTTGAAATTTTGATTACTTTATCCAAAGTTCATCCACTTAGAATCCTCCTCCACATTGTACCGATAGATCATCAAATTGGAAATAACCAGATAAATAGTTGTTTTAAGGAGTTTTAATAATCAGATATGCATATAATACCACCTAAATAACTCGTTACCCTTATATGAGCGGAAAGAAGCCAACAAATAAAAAAATTTATATTTTATATTACTTATGTAGAAGTGTTTAATATCCAATACTTATACACCTTTTAAACTTTCTATAGAAGAAAAGCTAATAAAATTTTCTTAATAGAAATATATTATATTTAACTCATACATTAAAATTAGGAAAAATTGCTTCAAGGCCCCAAATTCATATTTTCAATGTGCCCTAGCTCCCCCAACTTTCAAACATGTGTTGCAGCCCCCCCTTTTTAAAAAATTTATTAAAAGCCCATCTCCCTAAGTTCCCATGCAAACTCCATACACAATCCCCATTTTACCCTCCCTTACACCCCCCTCCTCCTCCTCCGTTCCCCCTCTGCCCCCGCCCCGCCTCCCTCCCCTCCCCCTACACCTCCTTCTCCTCCCCCGCCTCCCTCCCCTCCCCCTACCCCCCCCTCCCTCCCCCTCCT